CGGGGTGAGCAGAGTGCAGCGGGGTGAGCAGAGTGCAGCGGGGTGAGCAGAGTGCAGCGGGGTGAGCAGAGTGCAGCGGGGTGAGCACAGTGCAGAAGGGGCTCCAGAGGACAGGCAGGGCCTGCACAGGCTGCACACGAACACTTTGCTGTTCCACATCAGGGCACAACATTCACGGATTCTGATATCTGTGGGAAGTCCTCCCACCGAACCCACAGACCCCTAGGCAGGACTGTATTTATCTTGAAGAGCACCTCAAGCAGTCTGTTAAATGCCAGAAGATGAGGTAGCCATGCCCATGGTTTGGATGCATTCCTTATGCTGACTGCCTCTAAGATAATAGCAGAGATCCAAGCTGCATCTCCTCCTTGACTGGTTTTTAACTTTTTCGCCTTTTATCTCAATAAAACAAATTTGTAAAGACAAAAAAGAAAAAGAAAAAGAAAAAGCCAGAAGATTGCCTGCAACAACGGGTATTTCCACATTTGGGGACTCAGCAGGGGCTCTACAGACAGCTGACACAGCCGTGCTGCCTTTCCTGACATGTAGTCCAGGTGGACACAAACTTGGGATTGTGAGGGTTGGGATGCCAGGCGTGCACCACACATGACATATCTGGAGATGGAGGTGGACCCACTCCCCACTCCCATCACTCGGCTGCCTTGGGGCAGGTGCTGGAGGGCTGTTTATCAGTGAAGGCACACCTTAATGTTGCTCACACGTGCTGTGGTTCAGAGCACTCAGAAACCTGTTATCCTGCTCCATGGCAATGACCGCCTCCATGGCTCATGAGAATGGACACTAGGTGCTACCCATTCATTTCCCTTTTTGTTCTGGTTTTTGAGATAGAGTCTAGGTTGGCCTCAGACTCTCAGTAATCTTCCTGACTGGGCCTCCCAAGTGCTAGGGCTACAAAGGCCGCCCTGCCCGGCCCCTGCAAAGTCTTACCTGCATGGTGTCTGGTCTCTTCAACTGGGTCTGGCAGAACCACTTCTTGCCAGGGCGGTGAACTCAGGGAGGTCTTAGGAACGTATCTGCAAAAGCCATTTCATAAATTCACATCACATGCACATGAAAGACAGCTTTAAGTGCCCAACAAACAGCTGTGTGGTGTCAAAGGGTGTGTGTACAAGCTTGCTATGGAGGCTTATGAGATCCACAACACTAATGCTGGCTCTAGATCACTAACATAGGAATTCTAACCATTCTGTCCCCAAGGGAATGTGCAGACTTCAGACCTAAGATTTGCCTGTCCATGCCATTCACAAGCACATCTGTGCAATGAATGGACACTTTCCCACCATACCAGTTCTCAAAGTCTCTAGGAACATGAATCCATGGTCTGTGGTCAGGTAGTGACCCTGGGGGACCAGGAGTAGCTAGAGGAGCTGTTCTCTAAGAGTCTGTTCTGAGTGCCATTAGGTTCAGTGACTGGGCAGGACAGATGGAGAACATGGAAAGAGGGAGCTGGGAAAAGTCTGGCAGGAGGGCTGGACCTGTCACAGGAGAATCGGAAGAACAGGCTGCTCAGTGAAATGCCACTTGGGGGTTCTTCGTGTTTTCAGACTCTGTTTTGTAATTTGTCCTTGTGAGAATCAAAGAGGCTTCTGCTGCTGAGACCATCCACACAGCAGGCTTACTTATATAGTTTTGGGCCAAACCTGTATGCCAGATGCTGTTCTGGGGGTATGCATATATGTAACTTATGCACACATGCATGCATTACTTCTGTTGGGGATAGAACTGCATGTATGTATGTATATATATGCACTTGTGGTGAAGGTGGAACCCAAGGCCTCAAGTATGTTAGGCAAACATGCTATCACTGAGCTATAGCCCACCCCCCTCCACAACCCCATTAAAATATAGACTTTTTGTTGTTGTTTGTTGTTTTGTTTTGTTTTAAAGACAGGGTCTCTCTATTATGTAGCTCTGGCTATTCTGGACCTTCCTATCTAGATCAGGCTGGCTTCAAACTCAGAGAGATCCATCTGTTTCTGTCTCCCAAGTGCTGGGATTAAAGTCATATATTACTAAGTCTGCCATCACACCCAACCTCAAATTTAGAGAAGTATTTTGTTTTGTTTTTGTTTTTCATAGGGTTTCTCTGTGTAGCTCTGGCTATCCTAGAACTTGCTCTCTAGACCTGGCTGGCCTCTGCCTCCTGAGTGCTCAGATTAAAGGTTTGTGCCACCACTGCCCAAGTTGAGAAGTTTTAACTTGGAAGTAACATTTTAACAAAGGAATGAAAAAAATCACCAAACCCACAAATTGGTATTATTACCCTTGTGGATAAGAAGTGCTCTGTGAATTGAACCTTCGAGAAGCAGACTGGAGGGAAGCTGTAAGAACAAGAGAAACATGGTGGGTAGTTACTCTGAGGAAATGCATAGATCTGTTGTGAGTGTCTGGTCTGACCTACGGGATCACAGCCTGCCTCTGGAAAAGTCCAGGTGAGGACTGGTGCTGGCTCGGGGGTTAAGTACCTGCTTTGAGTGTGTGAACCCAAGTTCAGATCAGCAGCACGAAAACAGGCTGATTCACCAGGCACAGCACCACCCACCGTTACCCCAGCACTGGGGAAGAGAGACAAAGGGATCTCAGGGGCTGGTTGACTAGCTAATCTAACCAAAATGGCCAGCTCCAGGTTTAGTAAGAAACCTTTAGAAATAAGGTGGGGAGGGGTTGGAGGGATAGGTCAGTGCTTAAGAGCACTGGCTGCTCTTGTAGAGGGCGAAGTTTGTGGGAGGGGCAGGGTTGGAGTGGAGCAGATTCCGATTTGGTGCCTATAAGCAGAACTCTTTCCTAGCACCTACATGACAGCTCACAACTGCCTGGAACTCCCAGTTCCGGGGGAGTCTGTGATAAGTCAGCCTGACTCCATCTTAGGTGTGAAAGCCATCTTAGAGTAAAAACAAACTAGGTTCATTCATGTTTATGACTAAATCTGTTTCTCAAGGGTCAGGTTTTGCCCCACTTGTGACTTAACTACACATGGTTCTGTACTGCCTGTTCCAGGAAACAGCTATTTTCTGTTTCAAAAGGTTATTATGACCACCTGTTGTTAGACCACCTTGTTATAACCATGTCTTTGTTTCAGAAGGTTAACATGACCAACTTGTTATGCTTATGTTTTACTTCTGTAACCTATTTGCCTGCCAAATCCTCCATCTGGAAACTCCCTACTCCTAAACTATAAGAACTTATCTCACCCAAGTCCAATGCTGACCTTTTGAACTCTGCCTTAGGGGGAAGCAGCTATGTACAAGAAAAAAAAAAACTTGCATTAATTGATTTGTCCATGATGATTTGGGTTGGTGGTTTTTCTCCTCAAACCTATGAGATTAATATCTGATCCCTTCTTTGGACTCCAAAAGCACCCTCACTAAAATGCACATATAAGACATCTCTCATACACAAATAAACATCAAAATAAATTTTAAAAGAAAAAAGAAAGGAAGGAAGGAAGAAAGAAAAAGAAAAGGTAGAAGACAAATAGTGGTCACCTGACACTGTCATCCGGTCTCCACTCAGGCATTTGCACCCACTTGCACACACACACACACACACAACACATATTCAACCCAAAAAAGTTCGGCCGACAAAACTAAAGACACACTACTAAGTTACTAGTTATGTTTCAAGATGGTTCATCCCATGGTCTAAGATCCGAGGGTGGCTAGAAGCCCGAGGACAAATGTCCACGTTCGGGCACTGAAACCCTATACAGAGGCTTCCGAACCGCTTCTAAGTCCCCTCTATATGGCCCTGGGTGGCACTTCTCTGAGCCTGTTTGAGTCTTTGTAATATAGGACCTACACGTACGTTTAAGAGCGCTTGTTATTATTAAACAACGAATTGAAGGAACCGCGTTCTCATCCCAGGTTCTTGTACTCCCAAATCCCGTGCAATATTCACGATGCAAGCAACCAACACACCAGGCACCAAGACGGACTCAGACAACGTGCAGCAAACAGCGGGCGCACTGCTTCTGTTTCCTCCCTCCCCAGGCCTCCCTGGTCTCACCAGCTCCGGGTCCGGAGGATGCCAGGATGCTGCGGCTACATACAGACGCCAGCCGCCTCAAAGCGTCTGGCAATGCCGAGGCAGCTATGGACGCCGCCATTTTTCCACAGTCCCATCCGGAAGCGGAAGCTACGCAAACCTCGTGCTTCGACTCACTATCCGGGTGGGAAACACCTGGAAGAGGGGAACACGGGTCCTACTGGAATCACTGGCTTAGCAGAGAACACAGGAAATAGGTCCTTCAGGATTCACTGTCCCGACAGGGAGTACAAGTCCGTTGAGGACACTGGCCCGGTGGGGGACAGGGTCCGACGGGAACACAGGTCCCACAGGACCAACTGGCTGAGCAGGAAGCACCAATCGGGCTGCACCGCGGAGGAGATGGCCTCGTCCACCGTGGAGAGTTTCGTGGCCCAGCAGCTACAGCTGCTGGAGCTGGAGCGGGACGCCGAGGTGGAGGAGCGCAGGTAAGTGCGGCCGCGGATCTCCGGGCCTCTGCAGCGCTCGTTTCTAGTCTCCTGGGGCGGGTCTGGTGTTGGCGGCGGGCCGGGCCGGGCCAGTGGGCAGCACGCGGAGTCTGCAAAGCAAAGCGGTGTCAGGGCCGCACGCATGTCATCCCAGCATTCGGGGAGTCGAGGCAGGAGGATCGTGAGTTCAAGGTCTTTGGCTACATGGCCAATTGGAGGTCAGCCTGTGCTACAGGAGATCCTTTGCCACTCCCACCCCCACCCTACCCCCCAAAAAAAGAAGAGAAAGAGAGGGAGGGAGAGAGGGAATAATCTGCAAGTCAAGCTAGAACCTTGAACCACGGTTAAGGTGTTGGGGGTAAGAGGCAGAGAGGGAGTAAGTTATAAATAGGAGGCCCACAGGACTTGCTGAAAGATGGCGTAGAGGCATGGGAAGACTATTGGCAGACCTGGAGCAGGTTAGGCAGTACCAATCCTGGGAGCTGTGGGAGGGGAAGGATTGGACTGGAGCAGATTCCAATTTGGTGCCTATAATCAGATCTCTTTCCTCGATTACTTTTCCTGCAAGGGATTGAAATAGGAAGGGTGTGGACACAAACAGCTATCCTGGGTATCTTCCAGGTCCTGGCAGGAACACAGTTCTCTGAAAGAGCTCCAGAGCCGAGGGGTCTGTTTGCTGAAGCTTCAAGTATCCAGCCAGTGCACCGGGCTGTACGGACAGCGGTTGGTCACCTTTGAGCCTAGGAAATTCGGGCCTGTGGTGGTGCTTCCCAGCAACAGCTTCACTTCTGGTAGGTGTCTGATGTAGGCTTGTGTGAACACTGCTGGTGTTCAGATTAAGGCCTGTGCTCTCCCAGAGGCTGCAGGACAGACCCAGATGGAGTATGAAGCAATGAAAACTTCCTATTCAGAAATGGGACAATTATCATGGCTGGTCTTGTTGTTTTGAGTCAGGGTCTGAAGTTGACTGTGTAGTTGAGGATGACTTTGAGCCTTGAACTGATCTTGCCGTTACCTCCCAGTTGTTGGGATTACAGGCCTACACCATTGTGCCTGACTTTTTGTTGGTTTTGGAGCCAGGAATGTGACTCACTGTGTAGCCCTGGTCCATCTGGAACTTTCTGTGTAGACCAGGCTGTACTAGAAGTTGCAGTGGGCTTTCTGTGTCTGCCTACTGAGTTCTGGGGTTGCAAGTATGCACTGCCACATCTGACTGTGACTACACTGCGTTTTGGTTGCCCAGATTGCCACTTTCTCTTTGTAGCGTCTGGGATAGAACCCAAGGCCTCTGCATGCTGAGCAAGTGCCGAGCCATTGCACCACACCCTGGGGCTTTTTGACCACACACCGGGGATGCTAGGTTGCCTTCAGCCCTGAAGGCTGAGAGCCAGCGGGGCTGCCTGTGCTGTCCTCTTTTGTTTTGTCTTTTAATGTGCATTGGTGTTTTTACCTGCGTGTATGTCTGTGTGACAGTTGTGAGCTGCCCTGTGGGTGCTGGGAATCGAACCCAGATCCTCTGGAAGAGCAACCAGTGCTCTTAACTGCTGAGCCATCTGTCCAGTCCTGTGCTGTCCTGTTTTGAGTGGCAGTCTTTGACTTCATAGACTCCTGTTCTAAGAATTTTCAGTTCCCCTGCTGGGTTTGAAGAAGGTAAGATGAGGGGAAGGAGAAGACAATGAAGGAAGCTGCTGGTGGCTGGGAGACCAAGCAGAACTTGAGATCGTGACCTTGTTAAGGGAGCTGCATCCAGTCCGCCCCCTCGGGAGATGGGAGCAGGAGTGCCTGCCACTGTCAGGCGTGAGGGAGCAGGGCGGAGCATGTTCATTGTCCTCTCTGAAGCTGTGTGGAGTGACTGCCATGATGGGTGGTGGTGACGGGAATTGAGCCTCTGTGTGGAACACCAGCGAGCTGGAGTGGTGGGGTGTGGACACCGCTGTTGACCAAATTCAGGGGATGTGGCTATTGTCCATCTTCTGAGGGGCAGTCTCAAGTCTCAGTCACTCAGAAGTAGCAATCCTGAGATGAGGAGTCTGACACACAGCTCAGCTTCTGCCCCCGGAGCATCCTTGCCGCATTCTTGCCAGATCCCGTTTGTCTTTCTAAAGTCAGGGAGGAGACCAGTAAGATTCAAGGCACAGGTGAAACTCACATATGGGTGAGGTGGCTCCAGGGAGAAAGGTGCTTGAATTCAGTTCCCAGGATCCACATCGCAGAAGCGGGGTGGGGGAGGTGGGAGGGGATGGGGACAGGGGACACACACCAATGCCACGAGCTGTCTTCTGACCTGCACATAACGAACCATGACACACACATGTAAATAAATGCATGATGATATATATTGTTTGAAATCATATATATTTATTTGAAATATACAGGAAATGATCACATACCATAATACTTAGCTGGGTTTGTTTTTGCAGGTGATATTGTGGGTCTGTATGATGCTAACGAAAGCAGCCAGCTGGCTACTGGGGTCCTGACCCGCATCACTCAAAAGTCAGTCACGGTGGCCTTTGACGAGTCCCATGATTTCCAGTTGAACCTGGACCGAGAGAACACCTACAGACTGCTGAAGCTCGCCAATGACGTTACCTACAAGCGACTGAAAAAGTGAGCATTCCAGGCTGAAAATCGGAGGGGTGTTTTCCTTGGATGGGACTCATGGGCACCCTTATTTGTGTTGAGGGCGGGAGTGGCCTGTCTGCTGGGTGTGCTCTGAGGTGATGGTGTCCCGGAACTGCTGTCCCAAAGAGCGCCTCATTTTGGCTCTGGTTCCTCACAGAGCGCTGCTGACACTGAAGAAGTACCACTCTGGGCCAGCATCCTCACTCATAGATGTCCTTTTGGGTGACTCCACCCCAAGTCCCTCCACCGAAATACGTGAGGATTTTTTAATTTCTTTTTTAAGATTTATTTGTGTGTGTGTGTGTGTGTGTGTGTGTGTGTGTGTGTGTGTGTTTCTATCACGTATCTTCCTCAGTCCCTTTCCTTTCCCCCCTGTTTTTTCTCTGTTATTGTGTGTCCTGTGTGCATGTGGAGGTCAGGCAGCAGCCCTGTGAGTTGGTTCTCTCCTGCCTGCCTTACGTGGCCCTAGAGACTGAACTCAGATAGTCAGCTGTGGCAATGCCGTTATGCACTGAACCGTTACGCACTGACGCCAGCTTATGTTTGAGTTTTGAGGGAGGGTCTCTCACTGAACTTGGAGCTCACTGACTAGCTAGGCTGATTGGCCAGTGAGTCCCAGGGATCCACCTGTCTCCACTTCCCGGTGCTGGGACTGTAGATGTGCTTTACTGTTCCCGGGTTTTACATGGTGTTGGAGACCCGAACACAGGTTTCATGCTTGGGTGGCAAAGCACTTTGCCTACTGAGCAGTCTCCCCAGCTCCACACCACAGTTTTAAATGATACTCTTATCTTTTCTTTCTTTCTTTTTTAATAGGTCTCATGTAGCCCAGGCTGGTCTTAGTCTCAAACTTACTCTATATCCAATAATGACCTTGAACTCCTGACATGCTTCTATGTCCCGAGTGCCACAATACTCACCTCAGAAATATATTAGCTGCCTTTAAAGACTGTTATGTCCTGATTGTAGCTGTTATCTCATTAACAAGACTTAGATAAAATATAGAATGTGCCAGAAACTTGGGATTTGGTAGTGCGTGCTCTGTCTCCCATCCCGCTCTTTTGATAGTTACAGGCCTGTTGCCTCTCACAGGTCCAGGTCAGCGCCTTCTCGTAGGAGCCTGGTGCACTCGGGTGTCCCTGGTGGACACTGGGGCGGAGCTGAGCACAAGAGGCCGTTTGGGCTGGAGTGCCTCGGTGGGTCAGGTGCCTGCTGTGCAGTGTGAGAGCCCGAGTTCAGATCCCCAGAATCCGAATGGTCACGCATGTAGTTAGTTCTAGCACTCCTACTATGAGATGGGAGGTAGAAACAAAGCTCCTGGAAGTGTGTAGGCCAGCTGACCTGGCTGCACACTGGTCAACAACAGAAGGTGGAAGACGAGGACAACACCCGAGGTTGTCCTCTGACCTCTACAAGGATACTGTCACACAGGCACATGGACATACATGCATGCTCGCACACATACAGATGGTTTTTTAAAAGAACATCATTAGTTATTTGAGTCTTCCATTGTTCAAAATAAAGGCACAATCCTTGGTCTTTGTTATTTTACGGTCACTTAAGAGTGACAAAACGATGGAAATGAATATGCCCCAAGAAACAGTTCCTTCACGTCTGTTATTGTAGAGCATGAGTTGGCAAAGTTCTTTGGAAGCAGGTTGTCGACATCTAGACTTTAGGGCCATATAATCTCTTTTGTAACTCACCTGCTGTGGCACCCAGCGGCCATTGGTTGGATTATAACCAAATGGCATGGCACTTTCTCCTAAAATGAGGGACAGTCAACAGCAGGCTAGGTGTTGGTTCCTGTTCCTGGAGAAAGCTCGCTTTGGAAATGAGACCTTGGGACTGTGGCTCAACTAATAGCACGCTTGCCTAGCACAAATGAAGGCTGGATTCCATCTCCAGCACCACTACACCAGGTGTGGTGGTGTAGCCTGTAATCCCAGCACTCATGGGGTGGAGGCAGGAGATCAGAATGGCATCAGAATGGCAGGGTCATCTTCACCTACTTAGAGAGTTTGAGGCTAGCCAGGGCAATATGAGACCTTGTTATTTAAAAAAAA